GGGCAGCTAGGGCCATAGTCTCAGTGGTTCCATCAAGCTCTATCAGACCAGCAAACCTTTTTAAATGATTTTGAGTTTTGTTCCACATTGTTCTCCCACTCTATCCAAGGATCTTCTACATAGATCCCCCTCCCAGTGGTTGACAGTGGTAGCTGGGCTTCATCTAGTTCTTCTGGTCTCATAGTTGTATAGGCTGCAGATCACATGGTGTACCAGTCACTTGGACTAATTGTTTTGATGCGTCTGTGGTTTTCTTCATTCTTTGCTTTGGATGAGGAGAGACGACTCATTACATTTAGATGACTGCTTGCAAGCTTTTAAGATCCCAGTTGTTACTTGCCAGAGTAGGATGTGGAACAATGTTTTTGTGTAGTATGTTATGCCGATTGAGTTTGATGCCCCCTGTGACTATGGTACTGAGCCCACAGGTGCAACTGCTTGCTCCCTCTGGGTAGCTGGCCGTGGCCAAGAAGTGACGACAACCTTGCACCTTGTCAGCTGTATTAACCAAACCAAACTCATTGCCATCGAGTCAGATGTGACCCATAGCTACCTCTCTTGGGTTTCTGAGGCAATATCACTACAGAAGTAGATTGCCCAACCTTCCTTCCAAGGAGTGGCTGGTGGGTTTGAACCACCAGCCTTCTGGTTAGCAGTCAAATGCCTTAGGCACTGTGCCACCAGAGCTCCTGTACCTCTACTATAATATACCTAAAAATTCTTAGAGAACATACAAATACACTTGTAGAAACATTGTCTGCCAACCCTGTACATGGTCATGGCACACTCCCCCCTGCATAGACATACCTAATAGTTCAGCCTGTCCACCCATCTATCCACCCATATGTCAAGGTTTGCCTTCACTGACAGCACAGTGGTATATATGCAAAAGGATTCATCTTTGTTGTCTGTGCCTCCCATGCACCTCTCTATGTTTTCCTCTTCCTCAATGCCACTGTGTTGATCACTCACATTTGGTATATTGCCCTTCTCTTCACCCAAATCAATACTTGTCTCTACCTATCTAACAGTGTTATCTCCCTTCCCCTTCCACCCCAGTAACCAACAAAGAAAATTTCTGTGAAGGCTTTCTTGATTCCCACGAGTGAAAAGTAATTTCTCCTCCTTTAAACCCCTGTGGCCCTTCTTTTTCTTTCTCATTTTGTATTTAGTTCTATATATGGCTACCATTTGTACTCTGTAGTAAGCTCCTGGAAGTCAGGGACCTTCTTTGTATCTTTGGAAGTGCTCTACAGCAGTGGATGTCCAGTAAATGATTGTTGAAAGACTAAAACCCAACTCTTACGAGTTACAATTTTTTCTGACTTGATGTGTTCAGGGCCAAGGCGTAGGGCATGAAGCCTGGAGTTCTGCAATGTGAGTGGGAATCACTTATCCACAATATTCAGTGATTGCAGTCTCTTGCCATGACTTCCTGCACAGTGGGATAGAGGAAGGATTCATAGTTTGTTATTCTGCCTCCGTCCTTCCAGTTTCTCTTTTTTTAGAACTCTATTTCCTGATTATCTCTTTCTCTGTATTAGTTACCTATTGTCCTTTGATAAATCACTCTAAAACAAAATCATTTATTATTTCTCATGGTTTTTGTGGGTCAGGAATATGAGAGATTTGGTAGGGCAGTTCTTGGCTCAGGATCTGCCCAGTCAGATGTATCTAGGGCTATAGTAATCTGAAGTCTTGACTGAGGCTAGAGGATCCATTTGTAAGGTCACTCACTCATATGGCTGGCAAGTTGGTACTGGTAAGTTGAATGCTCTCCACATGACCTCTGCAGAGGGCTGCTTGAGTATCCTCACGGTATGGTGGCTGTCTCCCCCCAGAGCTAATGATTGAAGACATTAAAGCAGAAACTACAGTGCCTTTTATGACTTACTATCAGTAATCACATACTGTTTCTTACCCCCTGTTCTATTGGTTACACAGGCCATCGCTGATTCATTTTGGAGGTTGGGTCCATTACACAAGATAATGAACATCAGAAGTCAAGGATGACTGGGCTCATTGGAGGCTGGCTACTGTGATTCCCCAAGCTAAGGCTAATGAGCTTACCCTTGGTTCATCTCCCTCTTCCTAATTCCAGATCTCACCCTAGACTACAGTACCAACTTTCAATTCTTGTCCTCTCTTAATCCACCCTCCAAACTATTACTGAAGTGTAAATCTGAGCATTCTTGCTTATAAATCTTTAGTAACTAAAATGTACACTCCAGGAGGGCAAGGAATACTAGCTATCTATTGCTGTATAACTCTATTACTCAAACATAGTGGCTTAAAACAACACACACTTATTATCTCACTTTTTCTGTACATCAGGAGTCTGGCTTGACTTCGCTGGGTTCTTTGCCAGGCTGCAATTAAGGTGTTGGCCAGGAATGGCTTCACATCTGAGGCTCTGCTGGGGAAGGATACACTTCTACACTCATGAATTATGGCAGTATTCAATTCCTTATAGTTTATCAGTCTGAGGGTTCCAGTTTCTTGCTGGCTTTCAACTGGAGGCTGCCCTCAGTTCCTTGCCATTTGGCCCTCTCATAACATGCCTGCTTGTTTCTTCAGAACCAGCAGGTCTCTTAGCAAAGCAGATGTTAAAATCTCATATAACATAATCCTGTACAGGTACTCATGTACATCTTTGTACATGATATTCATGTACAGGTACTTATGTCACCTTTGCCTGATTCTTTGATTAGAAGCAAGCCACAGGGCCTGCTTATACTCATACAGAGTGAGGAGGGAATACATAAAGGTGTGATTACCAGGAGATATGGATCACGAAGGCCACTTTAAAGTCTGTATTTTCACACCCTGAGAAGTACTTGACACATAGTAAGTGCTCATATTTGAATGAATGCAGTGTGACTACTGTGTTTCCAACTCCTGGCTTAAGCCTTTTTCTTCACTTCCTTGTCTTCTGTTTCAGAGTTACTGATTTATTCTTGAGAATCCTCTCTCATCTGTCCTCATGGATGAACTTCAGGATGTTCAACTCACAGAGATCAAACCACTTCTAAATGATAAGGTAAGGACTACTCTGTTTTCACTAAAAGGTATACAACTCTTTTCTTAGGAGATTAGTTCATTTTCTGTATTATCTGAATAGCAGCTAGCTCAAAACATAATTAGTTGGACTTTCTTTGGAGGGACTACTTCCTTAAATATGTTTTTTTACTCTTCTTTTTGACATCTTCTCTCCCTTTTTTTCCTACTTTTGTTTCCCCAGGCCAAATTCAAACAAATTATCTTTGGAATTCTTCTGTTTTATGGATAAGAGATACTAAGGGAAAAATACTGTGGCAAAATTAAGCAGCAAATATGAGGGTGGGGTTTGACTTAGAATCTAGGTTTCTTGACTTTCAATTCCTACAAGGAAAAGTTAACATCTATGGCTGGTGATGTATGTCGGCTGCAATATTCTCCCTAAGGTCTGCCCAGTCTGTGATAGGACGTTTTTGTCAACATCATGGTTTTGATCAAGATTGCCTGGATGTCAGTACTGTGCCTCATTTTTATGTTAGTGTTAGAGAACTACACAGTGAGCAGTATAATGGACAGCTCCCAGGACTCAGCAAGTAAAGTGTTACCTAAAAGCTAAGAAAGAATTAAGCTCTCTCCTTTCTCTCTCCATTCAGTGAATGTACCTGAATACTTTCTTTTGAACCCTATTATTTTGATTTATTGTCATTGTCTCATATTTTAGAAAACTCTTGTAGCTTGGTGTGAGTGAGTCTATGGCATCTTTGAGGAAAGTATTGATGGAGATGAGGGTAAAGGTGGATAAGATTAGGATGGGAGGGCTATCCCAGAAGATGCTGTTGTCTATTATCTTTCTCTGCCCAAACCAAGGGCCTCCACCTACCATTTCTGGAGCCACTGACTTATTATAACTTTATTAATTTGCTATTGAATCCTACAAGCCCTGTTTTCATCCGTGTGACATCTTCTCTTTGTCCCCACTCCCTTCTGGCCTTTATCTCTCACCAGATTCCTTACTCTCTCCCTTGACAAGCTGAACTTTTTAAATCCCCATTTGATTTGGTTTCTTCTCCCATTTCCCCTTATGTTTTCAGAAAGCTCTCTCCTTTAAGTACTGTCTTTTTGTGTATGTGAAAATCTGTCCCCAAAATAATGCACCGTGAAGAGGAGAAAGGAATAAAATCTGTGTCTATAAAGTTTACCTATAGCAACAGAAATTAATGGTTACAAGACAGGGGGGAGTTGAGCTTCAAAAAGGCAGTACCTATCCTAAACCAGACTGATCACTAGAATCAGCTGGGGAATTGCTTAAAAATACAGATTCCTGGGTTCCATACGTGGCCAACTAAATCACAGTCTCCAGAGGCAGAGCCCGAGAAAATTAAACACACACACACTCCTGCAGTGGTCCTTAGCTTTGGCTGGAGAGCTTTAAAAATGACTGATGCCTGGGTCTTACCTTCAGAGATTCTGACTGAATTGGGTTAGAGTGTGGTTGAACTTTTTTGAAAGTTTCCAAGGTTGAGGGCAGTGCCTTGATGTGATTCTGATTAAGTCATGTTGGAAACCCTTGACCCTGTGGGTTCCAGATATTTGAGGACTGGGACACAAAAAAGGGGACGATCCTTCCTTGACCCCGAAGTCCACAGGATTCCTGAGGAGATACCTAAATGAAAGAGTGGCAGGAGTTGATTGGCAGTCTCACAAAGAAGACAACTGGAAAAGGAAAGTTTCAGTAGATGTGATCTTAGAAAGACAGTGAATTAACATCTCGGTTCTCTTTTTTGAGGTCATGGTGATGCCTTGGCTATGTCTGATGCATGCCTAACATCTGTTAGCAGCTCTCATATGCCTGTGCTGTACCTACCCACTTCCCTCGTTCCATCGTGCTTCTCTCTCTCCCTGAGAAGTACTCCTCTCCCATCCCTATTCATGACATACCCCTGCTCGAGCCTAGCTATGTAGAGGTAGATTGGTAAGAGGGCTGCTTTGGATGGTGGCATTCCCTCACAAAGAATTCACCCCCATTAGCCTCTTTCCCTCTCCAGTATGTGCATGCTGTCTTTTTCCAGCAAGGGTGTCCTTTTGCATATATTATGAAAGGTATAATGATGATAATGCTTCTCACCCATTGTTTCATTTGATCCCCCCAATAGCCTAGTAATGTAAGGAGCACAGATGAATTAATTTCCATATTTCTGATGAGGATATTGCTGGTGAGGAAATTAAAGCTAAGAAGGATGAAGTAGTTTACTCAGACTGAATATCAAAAGAATGCTTACTTTAGGGCATGGTTTCTCAACCTTATAGCACTATTGGTACTTTGGGCTGGATAATTCCTTATTGTATAAGATTATCCTGTGAATTGAAGGATGTCTAGCAGCATCCTTGGCCTCTGCCCACTAGATGCTAATAGCACTCTATCAGTTGTGGAAACCAAAAATGTCTTCAGACACAGCTATAAGTCCTCTGGAGAACTACTGCTATGGGGGGGGGTGTGAGCCTCTCAGATTGAATGTCTTGAGGTTTTTTGTGCTTACTTATTAATTTGTTGTTAGCTGCTGTTGAATTGGCTCCTCACTCATGGCAACCTCATGCACAAAGAGATTGGACTGCTGTGATCCATAGGGTTTTCTTTGGCTTATTATTGGCAGTAGATTCCCAGGCTTGTATTCCTAACCTGTCTTAGTTTGGAAGCTCCACTGAAACCTGTTTAGCATCATAGCAACTCACAAGCCTCCATAGATGGATAAGTGGTTGCTGCGCATAGGTGCACTGGCCAGGAAACGAACCTGTGACTCTTGCACGAAAGGCATGAATTCTACCACTGAACCACTAATTCTCTCTTCTATTACTTATTAAGCACTTTTTATGTGCCAGGTGCTTCACATGCATTGTCCATTTTAATCCTCAGAGTGCCCCTGTGGAGTAGATAGCATTTATTTCTCACTTGGCAATTGAAGAACTTGAGACTGAAAGGCCGACTTGCCTAGTCATTAAGAGCAGAGTTGAGACTAAAACCCAGGTCTGTCTTTCTCTAAAACCTGAGCCCTTCCTGTTGTGTGGCCCTGTAGATGTTTTGGCAGCCTCTGTGGCTTACATTGTCTCTTGAAGGATAAGCCTAGAGAGGTGTATCATTTCATCTCACCTTTTGTCTATTCTCCTTATAAATATGCTTTAGCCAAAGGACTCTCTGTATCCTTGTAGGCTTCAGGGAACTCACAGAGGTCTAGAACCAACCTGTCATTGGGGAAATGTGTCCTGAGATGACTGTGAGGCAGCATTCTCAATATAGTTTTAAGTGAGACTTAACGTTAACTTGTTTCTTGTCTTTTCCCATTTAATTTTAGTATGCCTGTAATTTTGTCTGCTGCTCAGAATTGTGAAGAAGTGGGTAATTTTGACATTCTTGTTTTGGCTCCAGTGATGAAAAGAAGCAACTGCCAGCACTTATCTTTGTTTTTTTGGGGGACAGAGATTACACAGGCAGATGTGAAATGATTTTTTAAGTCTCTCAACTTCTCATGAAGTAGGTAGTTGAAAATATTTTTAACTCCATTTTGCAGATGAGACTCTGAAAGGTTATATGACTTGTCCAAAGCTAGTGTCTAATAAGATGGTTATGTCAGGACTGGAAACTCTGTCTTTTGACTTAGACCTGGATCAAGAGGTCTGTCTCTTGCTTCTCCTGCTGCGTCTTACAACCAGCTGTTTCAGCCTCCTCATCCAACAAACCAAGTAACAAGCAGGAGTGCTGACTGGTTTGTGCTTTATTTTTACTGGTTTCCTCTCCCTATTGGTTCAGACACTACCATGCCTGGTTGAAAGGTGAAAGGCAGGCTTGAGAAAACAAGTAATGGTCACAGTTGGCTTCTGAATAATTGAGGAAATATCAGGAAGGAGAACAAATATTTAGTGGGAAGAAAAGAAACAAGTTACTGATTTTGTTTGGGTTGATATATTAGAAAAGTGAGGAAAAGCTATTGCAATACAAGTTTCCCTTTCTACCAATGATTATAAGTGTAAGCAGGGGAGAGAGAAGGTTATTGGAATTACAGGAGGGACAACTCAGGGATGAGTATTTTTGTAACCTCCAGGGCAGCAGAGACAGGCAAAGGATTTGGGGTTGAAGGAAGGAAGCAGTTTCGGTGGAAAACAGATTTATTGACATTTTCATTAAAGAATATTTGTGAAGTGCTATCTCTAGTGTGGACTAGAGGGTGACCTTTGATTTGCTGGCTAAGAGGTGATTGTTACGTCTCTAGTGAGAAATGCCCTAGATGGCACTGGAGCAGGAAATGAGTTCTCAAGTAAGTAATGATGCCGCCATGACAGACAACTCCTAACCAGCCACACAAGGCAGCAGGTGATGGTAGGACAAGCTCTGGCTCTGCCACACCTTCACAGTGTGTCCAAAAAATTTTTAATGCAGGGGTCAGTGACACTTAACATTAGCCTGATAGAATACTAAGTTAGAAGCTATTTGAGGATTGAAATCGCCTTTTCTTAGAAGACTGTAGATGATCATACCTAGATATTGTTTTATCCAAGTATCTGACCTTTTTGTAAATTTCTTTATGAAGCCTCAATTTCTTAGTATTTATTAGTTGACAATATTAATCTCTCTCTTTTTTTTTTTTTTTAGCTTTTTATGGTGATTTGGGTGAAAGTTTACAGAGCAAATAAGTTTTCTATTCCATAAGTCATCCACATTTTGTTTTGTGCCATTGATTGCAATCCCCACAATGTAACTGCACTCTTCCCACTTCTTTCTTTTGTTTCCTATTTCCATTATTGCTTCATTTGTAGCCCCTCTTGCTTTCTGAGATTTATCCCTGGGCACATGCTGCCCTTTTGACCTAGAATGGTTGATCTAAGGAATGCATACCTCCTTGGTGTTACTGTTCATCTCATAGACCTGCCTTTTGTTTGACTGAAAGTTGAGTCACAGGGGTGAGTTCAGTTCCAGGCTTGAAGGATGTCTAAGGGCCATAGTCTCAGGGGTTCTCCCAGTCTCTACCCAACCAGAGAGCCTTTTTTTTTTTT